GGGGAGCTTGACATACTGCCCCTAAGCCCTGAAAATGTGGAGGGCCAAGTAAGTGTGATCTGACTTATATACAAGTTCTCAGGAACTCAACGTGTTTGTAATCTGGGGACTGCCTTTATGTATTTGAATGCATGCCTTTTAACAATGTGCATTCCTCCCATTGACTAATGTGTGCAAATACTCTTTTTATATTTAAAGGCACATATCAAAATGGACTTTAAAAAAACACTATTGCAAATTTAGCCCCTGTATATCCCTCATTTAAAGATTAATTCAGAAAAGACAGAGATGCTCCTAGTTAGGGAAGTCAACAATACAGAAGAAGAAGGCATTCATCCTGGTCTGGATACAGTTGTCGCCTACCTGAAAATCTGGTGCTTTGGGCAGTACCCTTCCAGGCGGCTCCACCAGCAGTTCCTGGCACCGACCGTGTTGTATACATCTGATTTGCCACTGATTCTGTTGCATCAGTTGCACCCACCAGTGGCACACCAGGGATGTCATCATTCCTGTAGGACTCCCTTCCTACACAGTATCTGCTTCAGTTCTTCCTACAGTCTAGATGCCCTGCTGTACACAGCTGCACTTCTGGATGCCCATGTTCTAGAAGTGGCCTGCACTGCCTTTGCCCAACTTGTGCCAATACGGCTATTCAGCCTGGTCTTAGGGGAGGGGGAGAAACTTCCACCTTGCCATGGTGATGCATGTTCCAGTCACTTCCAGACTGGATTATGGGAAGGCACTCTGCATGGGGACAAGTCTGTGGCGCCACCTCCCCACCCATCTAAATGCTGGAGCATTTAGAAGCTTGCCAGACTGCCTCCCCACCCCGTCCCCCTTCACCAGAGCAGGTCTCAGCCAAAAGTCCAAGACAACCAAAACCGTCCTGAATTTCAGAGCTGGATGGTCAACCAGGAGGGGGAAGAGGCACAAGAAATCTCCTCTCTTTTCTCCTCTACCAGCCCATTTTCTTTCTCCTACAATAGCTCCCTCTGCTGAGATCAAGTAAAATAGCAGCTTGGTTCCTGCTTCTTAATGCAACCAGTGTACTGCATGCCCTCTGCCATGTATTGCCCCCTATAGGCCTCTTCTTCAGTGTCCTACAGTTTAGCTGGAAGGAGGAGAGTCAAATCAGCAAAGGAATCGCTTGGATTAGATCTCCATCCCTGTCTTGGTTTGCTCAACTCATCCCAGCCCCCTGGATGAGGACATTAATTTTATATAGCATTCATGCTTACTCTTGGCATAGGTTATAAGTATGGTAGCACATTTGCAATGGATAGCAGCTAATACAAAGAATGGAGGACCTCACCAAAGTTCCTTGCAAACTCATCAAAGATCGCGATGTAGGGCCTCTCTGCAAATGCATCAGCCTGGTTCACCAGCGCCTCCTTTACTGTCTCGTACCCTGTCAGTACCACCATCTTCCGGACTCCCATTTGGATGCTGAAGATGGAGCCATACTCTTTTGACAACTGAAATTCAGTAGAGGAAAAAAAGGGGGGATAGTTTTGGCCACTGGGTAGATCCCTTTACAATGTTCACAGAGTAACCAGATGTAATCTTCCCTCATGGATGTAACCCTGTCTTACTGTGTTCATCTGTGGAGTAAACTTTCAGGCCAAAGATACAGTTCAATGAATACGGAAAACATTACAATTTAAGAAAAACAGTTTAAGAAAAGCACAAGGCATTGCAACTAGGCCCTCCAACAAAAGAAAGGGGGGAGGGAGAGAGTGATGCAAGACCTATAGTTGTAATGCCCTGTGTTTGTAATGCCTCACAGTGTTCATTGAACTGTGTCACTCGTTTAAAAGTTTGAAAAGTCTTGTGTGTCTTGGACCCTCTCTCATTAGACATGTGGCATTTCTAAACTTTCTACAGCACTTTCTGAATCACTTCTTCAACTGAATCATAAGATGGATAAAGAGCAACACCCCCAGCGCAATGAATAGCAAGAGTCAGTGAATGGTGTGTCCCAAAGCTTCCCCTCTGGCCTCTGTCTCAGCCGGTGGCACTTTCATCCCTTGTCCTTCAGCCCCCAGCCCCCGAGCGCTCCCCCCAACTTTTGATAAATCCCCATTGCATGTGGAAACACAGCAGGAGCAGCAAATCGCATGTGTCTCTGCAAAACAGTATTTGACATAGGTTTGCTATTTTGTGCATTGTTCACTTCAGCTTGATCAAGCTCAGTGTATGCAGATCAATCACGTCACTCCAGTGTTCTTCATCCTGCCGCAGGGAGAACACAAAGCTTTACCTTTAGCATTGTTCTGTGGAGCCGCTTCAGATCGAAGATGTGGAGATTTCCAATTAGAGGGAAAGGCCTGGGTCCTGGTGGAAGGGCTCGGGAGCTGCTGCTCCAGAAACCAGCCCATTTCAAGAGGAGTGTAAGTGTGAGGGCGAGCAGGAGCACCACTGGGAAGGGGTCCGTCCAATCCATCTCCTTTCAGTAAGTGGTTTTCCGCAGTGAATGTAATGAAGATCTCCGCACCTTTTGATCGAGGACACTCTCTGTATTTCATAAAGCTGCATTAGATATTGCCTATGTGTTGTCTGTAGTGAATCATTAAATTATATAGTTAAACAGGTATGAGGTTTTTGAATGCTACACGAATTGCAGGATAGAGTTCAAACTTTNNNTTATGCAAACACCTGGGTAATTATTGACCTGTGAGTAGCAGGATAATTTTGATTTCAAAAATTGTATTGTTTCCTACACACTAAACCAATAGTTATTCCAAAGACTTCAAAGATACTGGCTACAAAACCATATTTCCATCTACAATTGCCATGTATTGTTGTAAGCCGCGATTTTACGGACGAGACCAGAGACTGGTTGGAATTTTTGGAGAGAGATTTATTAACCTGCAGGGACCAAGCACTCTAGGAGTGTGGTGCTGAGCAGACAAATGCAGCTATTTTTATACTCTTTTACAGCTGTGCAGGTGCTTGAATGACAGCGGACAATGGGGAACCCCACTGAGTTACATTTGCACATTTTGCACCTTTCCCATGCTAAGGCAAGCAAGCGAGGTTACAAGGGCGTGACGCTGGCAGTTATGCTTGAGTTTAGCCTACTTTGTTTTCATCCTTGCGTAGTGTGCACATTCGTTGGGGTTCCTGTTCTTGTTCACGCGAACAGGACACCCTGATCATGCTTTCTTTTACCCGTGACGAGCCATGCCCTGGCTGCATGTTCGATTATGAGGGGGGTTACCACATTCCCTACTGGTCTTCTTGGGGAATCGAATCATCGAGTCAGCGAGCCGCTAGCAGATGCTGCTTTCAGCCCACACCCTGTGAGCGGGGTGGGGGCCTCTACCTGAGGGTGAGGGAGGGCCTGGTTGGGTCCCACCGGGCCCCAGGGTCATGAGATAACCCGTTTCTGAATCGTGAGAAGTATGCCCGGATCAGGACCATACAGATTCAAGCGTAGGCCCCAGGTTTTGCCTTTTACCCAAGAATCTTCTCCGCCTTGCTTGATCTTGAGGCTCAGGGGGTTATGTCTGCCGGTCCCCGCCTGAGCTGCCTGTACCCTTTTCACTGCGAACCATGGATCCTTATTTTGGCCTTCCAACCAGGTAGCGAAAGTCTCGCAACCCCATCGGGCGCAGTAGAAGTTGGGCGTGTCACCGCAATCGGGGCTCCCATCAAATGGACAGCCATAATATTGCTTCTCCGACAGTCCCCTTTCCAAGATATCAGTTCCGCATCCAAAACCCCAGATGCCTGGCTTGGCCCACCTGGGCGGAAGGAGCTGGCAGAGATCTATGCGGAAGTCCGGGGAGGTATCGTGGGTGTGAGTCAGGACGGTTGCTACTGGCGGGGAGGTCTGCCAATCAGTCTGCAATGTCCATTCCATGGTGAGTGGCTGGTGTGGGTTTGGGAGGGGACAGCCTACTGGGCGGGCGAGAAGAATCAGGAGGGCTGCTGGGAAGAGGGGGAGGAGACTCTTTTTAACTTGACTCGCAGAGGATCTCCGGTTTGGTGTGCCGTCCATTGTTCCGAGAGGGCCAGCGCGGCAGGCTTTATCTGTGTTACGTGGAACCAGTGAGGTTTTTCGGCCAGTCTAACCGCTGTGGAAGTGGAGAGGATCACCTGGAAGGGTCCTAGCCACCGGGCACCTAGGGTGACAGGGTGAAAGTTCTTTAGCCAGACCCAATCTCCCGGGTTTACGCGTGGGGGATGGTCGGGCGCGGGGTCCGGAGCCTTAGTAGTCCCGCCTTTGTTGGACTGAACCTGTCGGCGAATATCGTGCCAGACGCGATCGAGGGCCTGCAAGGACTCAAGCAAGTTGTGGATAGACAACTCGGCGCGTGTCTCCTCCGCCAGGCGGGGTAGCAGGGGAGGCGCTTGCCCGAACACAATTTCAAAGGGGGTGAAACCGTTCTTGTAGGGGGAGCATCGCGTGCGTAGGAGGGCAAACGGAAGGAGGTCCGTCCAGGGGCCGCCAACTTCAAGAGTGTATTTTGTTAAGGTTTCCTTTAGCGTTCTATTCATCCTCTCTACCTGTCCTGAGCTCTGCGGTCTATACACACAATGCAGTTTCCAATCAATCCCCAGAGCTTTGGCTACCAATTTGGAAGTTTGGGCGATCAACGCTGGACCATTATCTGAACCTAGAGCTAGGGGTACGCCGAATCTGGGTAGAATTTGATGCAGGAGAGTCCGGGCAATAATCAGGGCTGTCTCTCCCTTTGTAGGGAACGCTTTCACCCACCCGGAATGGGTGTCGATGAAGACCAGTAAATAGCGATACC